GAGACAGAGAGACAGAGAGACGGATAGATATATTTGTGTGTGTATGCATATATTTTTTAGTTCCGTGTAATTGCGTTTGCATTTGTCTGTATTAGATTACGAAGTTGTATTATGGAGATAATATTACAATAGAATTATGTAACCAGTCGATACACGTAAATTTCCGCGCGTTAAAAAATAATGAAGCATACACACCCACGCAAGACTAAGTACATAATTCATCTTTTCTGTCTATTTATGCATTTTCGATTATTTGCATAAGCATTCACTTTTTAATCTTTAACTTTACATCTTTTGTTTATAGTTGAAACTGAAATTGGTCATTTTCTTGGCTGAAGCAACAATGTCTAAAAAAGCAACATTACATTGAGAGTCACGTTAATTTCACTTTGAGTAAAATTCAGTAAATATACAAAAATAGAAAAATGTGTTTAGAAAACAATGTCTTCTAACCAAACTATTCAATCCATACAGTGCTCTTAATGTTAAATGTTAATATTTTAAGCGTATGTGAAATAAGGTGGACAAACAATGGCGATAAATATAGGTTCATATATGGAGACGGAGTGAAAAGTGAAAGAGGAATAGGACTGATACTAGATCAAGAAAGAGGACAACTAGCAAAATATATAAATATCGAAGTGAATATTTGAAGTGAAATTAACACTGGTCTAATAGAACAGAAATAAAACAGCAGGATAAGACGGAATTATAACACAGATGCAGTCAGATTATTTTGGCATTGACAATATTACAGACATAATAAATGAAATATACAATAGTGTTGATATACTAGAAGACCGAACTAGATCTATATTCATAGCACGGCTTAAAAAGCTAACCGCAAGTGAATATGAACTCAATTAGACAATCAGTCTAATGAGCCATATCATAAAACTTATCATCCGAATTCTGAAGAAATGCAGCAGAATTATACTGAAATAGAACAAGAACAGTGTATGCTTGTTAAAAACATTGAACCAAAGAATGCGATATTTACATATTTATGTACAGAATGATATAAGAAAGAGCAATTGCAACAACGACGTTTTGGTGAAAATTGAAACAAAAACATTTATACTTAACATCAGAAGGCGACAGTTGAAACTTCTAGGTCACATAATGAGGAAAAAGGGCTTGGAAATGTTGATGCTCACAGGATTGAAAGGTAAGGGGGGCAAAAGAAATGAACGCATATACCCAGGGAGCATGAGTAAATGGGTGATAGATAACGAACATAGATAGATAGATAGATAGATAGATAGATAGATAGATAGATAGATAGATAGATAGATAATGAAAACACTGAGATAGATAGATATATAGATAGATAATGAACAGACTGTGATAGATAATGAACAGACTGAGATAGATAGATAGATAGATAGATAGATAGATAGATAGATAGATAGATCACTCCCTAATGGTTATATGTTCTATATGCTGTTATGTGTGAAATCAACTCCATGTATTTTTTGGGTTCCTTTGTGAACCAATTTTATTTGCTTTTGGTGATGAGTTGTGCCAGTTGTTCCATTTTATTTTTCTGTTTAATTTTGTATATTTTCCTATGTCCATTTGTTGATCTTTACCGGGCGAGGAGTTAATTCCAATAGACTTAACCCTTTTCACATTGTTATCTTTCATAATTTGCTTGTTAAAAGCCATGAGTTTTCTAGGGATTTACAGTGGGGGAGTGGTTTCCCGTTGACCTCTCCACGGTTATTGTATTGCGACACTATCTCTAATTAGCTGGCCGCTGACTCGTCAAAATTTCTTCCAGCCTTTGATAGGTCATATTTTTCATCTTATAGTGTTATTATAAAAACGGCTTCATTCACATTAAATAGGAGTGGGGAGGGGGTCACCTGTTTAGCCGCTGACCATAACGTGCACACGCACGCACATATGTGTGTGTGCAAGTTTTAACTTAGTTTAAGTGCTAAACATTATTATTATTATTATTTATATATTAATATGCTTGTACCTACCGTACGTATTGGTTACGCAAAGGTTAGATAATTTGTGAGACAGCCTTTTTTTTTTTGAGTAAACGAAGACCCGAGTATCGAAATAAAAGCCCCTATTAATATCCGACAGATATGGATTTCACTTAAACATTACGGGACCCCATTTGACAGAATCTTAGCTTTAATTCTAAATAAAATCTTAATTTAACACCATAACTGAATCCGAACTTTCAAAGTGTACTGTAAACAAACCGATTTCGCCGGTTTGTTTACATTAGGTTAGGCGTAAATTTTTAAGATAAAAATAAAAACACAATTCTGTAAGATTTCTTTCTATAAAATCGATTTTATTCACCTTTATGGACTTCAAACCTTGAAGCAATTCAGACAAACCCTGCCCGTGGTTCCAAAAGACGCTATAATCGTTTGCATTGTCATCAGCCTTGTGGCAGAATGTGGAAACTTTGACACTTACAATCAACATAAGGGCCCAGCTTTACGGGTAACTTTTGCAAGAAACTACTCACCATCGGTGATGTCACAGCTCCTTTAGATGCAACTGAATAGACGGTTCTTTCACATGTAGGCATATATATGTGGATAGTATGGACAATTTTACGGTAGCTGTTTTTCCCGACTTGCGCATCAACTAACTACAAAGGTTAAAGTTGCATCATATTCCTGAAGAAATAACGGATCGAGCCGATGTTTAAACAAACAAACATTTGCGAATTGAACTGGGGGAAAGTTTAGAAAGGAATCAATTCCATTTTAAAATTAAAATCTAATATACACAAAAAAAATAAATAAAAAAAAAAAAGTTAGTACAACCGGTCAACGAAACGGTCGTTAAGATCCGTTTCTAACAGACCTACCGAGATGATTTCGAATTATTTCACAGTTTGATGTCCATAAATTTCAATAAAATCGATTTTATAAGAAGAAATCTTACAGGTAAGATTTTATTATTGATTTTCTAAGCGTAGCTTAGATGCGGCACAAGGCCGAAAGTATGGGGTAAGATTTTACTATTACGTACCCCTCTAATACGCATGCGCAAATTTAGTTGTCTGAAGTAGCAGAATTGATTATGAATGAACATTTTTTTTTCCAATATTTGAGAGATAAAAGATTATTAATCTGAGATTGCAAGTGTCTGAATTTTTGGAGTTCGATGGAATTGGTAAGAAAACAATTCTTCGAACGGATATATTTGGAAATGTCGAGGAACAATTGATATTTGCAAGAATCGAACACTCGCAGACAATCGAAAATAATTGGCAGCATTTAAAAAAAAATACGTGAAAAAGGTACATATAGAACTCTTCATCAGAGGGAGTACATATGAGAAAATCCGACGAGATCGGTTTGTTTACATTACACGCTGACCGTTCGCGGTCAATTAAAGTGTTAAATTAAGATATAAATTAGCAATTAAAGGTACGATTCTGTCAGATGGGGCCCATTAATATTTAAAATCGAAATAAAATCCATATCTTTCGGCTATTTATCGATTTATGTGCTTCTTTATTTCCGTGTACGTGTGTTCTGCCATTGATTAGTGAGTAGCAGAGATGCAGAAGGATGTGTACCTATGTTTCATAGACTGCATAAAGGTCTTCGACAAAATGCGCCACAAGGATCTGATAGAACTGTTCAGCAACCTCGATATATTCGAGAATGATATCAGAATAATCAAGAACCTGTACTGGAGCAAACAGCATACATGCGCATAGAGAACGAGTTTAGTGAATATACAAAAATAGAAAGGGACGTAAGGCAAGGATGCATCTTCTCACTAGACCAGTTCAACCTATACAGCAAGGCAATCCTGAGACAATTGGAAATCCTACCGGGATTTAGCATTGGCAGCCACAATCTTAACAACATAAGATACGCAAATGACACAGTATTGATAGCAGACACGGTAAAGAAATTACAAAATCTCCTACAGAAAGTAGCGACGGAGAATGAGAAGAAAGGACTAAACATAAACTACAAGAAGACAGAATGCCTGGTCATCAGTAGAAGGATGAGCCCGAAATGTGATTTGAAGGCCGGGAACACTAGAATCAAGCAGACGCAGAAGTTTAAATATCTGGGAAGCGTCTTAACAGAGGACGGCAAGTACGACACTGAGATCCGTAGACGTATTAGGATGACCAAGAGCAAATTCCAAAAGCTAGTCAGAGTACTGCGAGACAGGAGGATTTCTTTGGTAAGAAAGAAAAGAATACTGAGCTGTTACGTGACATCTGTTCTTCTTTACGGCAGCGAATGTTGGACGATTTCCTCAAAGATGAAGAAGAGACTCGAGGCGACAGAGATATGGTCCTACAGAAGTATGCTAAGGATGTCATGAACCGAGCGTGTGAGCAATGATGGGTCTTAGAGAGGATGCAAACAAGAAGGAGGCTTATACTTAATATCAGGAAGCGGCAGCTGACGTTTCTGGGACACATAATGATGAAGGAGGGCTTGGAGACTCTGATACTCACGGCACGAATAGACGAGGGAAAACAACGTATGGCATACCTGGCGGACGTGGATGACAGAACGTGGTGTGGGAGAGGAAGCAGAGGGAAGGAACTTGTTAAAAGCTGCAAAGGGTAGAAGGAGGTGGAGAGCCATGATCGCCTACGACCTGAAATGACATGATACATAAAAAGAAAAAAGAAAGAATGACGAAAAAGTTACAGTTTATTTTCATTTTACGTCCGAACTAGTGAACGGATAGAACCGATTTTTTTTACATTTGATTAGCCAGACCCTTGTGATTTGAACTGGTGTCATGGCAAATGTAGTCTATGTATTAATGCGCTTTATATATATATATATATATATATATATATATATATATATATATATATTTATTCCCTAAAAATTCGGCTTATCAGAAAATGAAGAAATTCTAAAACTAGACTAAAACATGTCTAAGCACCAACTCTGTAACATCGGATAATGAAGAAGGATCCCAGAATCACCCCATGGACTTTATAAACTATCTTATGCTTCCCCATCGCCTTAACTTAAAAGTTGGATTATTTATTATGCTTCTTAGAAACCTCACTATAGTATAAATCTATGTAAAGGAACTCTATTTGAACTACTTCAGCTCCACGAACATAACATCGAAGCGTCAATTATATGTGGATCTCACTCTCAGAAGAGAGTACTGATTCCAAAAAACAAACTTAAACCAAGCGATGCAAACATTTCATTTCGTTCTGTATCGGACCCAGATCCTGGTTCGTCAGTCCTATTCTATGACAAATAAACGCGGAAGAAAACATTCACTGCTTCACATTCATGGTCAGCTCTACATAACGCTTTTTAGAGCAAGGGAAATGAACAGTGTGTTAAAGTGATATCTCAAAACGAATCAGAAGGGGAATCACGTTCACTAGAAACATTGTATATCGGGAAGTGCTGCAACGGATGTATTTCATACAATAACTTAAAATAAACTTATATTATTAAATATGAAATAAATGATATTATTTTTTTATTAATCAAAATAGTGCAAATTAAAAAATTTTGATTAACTAATAAATATTCATTGGACAATATTTAAATTATCTGTGAATTTTTTCATGGGTCCAGCAAGTTATTATTATCTTTAGAAATTCAAAGACATTTTTACATTGACTTTTCTGGTGTTATTAGTGAGAGAGGAATTCAATTTTCAGTTTTCTATCTAACCCCAAATTTTCTAACTGATAATCAGAAGAGGCGACCACAAAATAAGTACTATCACATACGTACAATAATATGCTCAAAATTTTGTCTCGTTCACATATTAATAATGAAAGGTAGAAAATTGGCAGCAAATTTGAAAATGAACTCAAACCAAGAATTGTACGTGTGCTTCTCGCAGAATAGCTTTGTGCCTATTACAGAATAGACACAAAACTATTCTGTGAGAAACGTTTTATGCATACATATATACATACATACCTATATTTATATACATACATACATATATATGTGTGTGTGTGCGTGCGTGTGTGTGTCTGTGTGTTTAGTAGAAGAAATATAAATGCATTGGATTTGCTGTTTCTGTTGGTCACGTCCAATTGCGGTAGCTGCAGTTGTCAAAAAACGGTGGGAGCGTTGGACATTACTGTTAGTGTTTTTATTTTTGTGTCGCTGTCACGCCGGTCTTTAACTGTTTACTTACCCAAGACGTGATGAACACTTAGGAGTGAAAGACGCTCCTTTTAACATGACATTGATATCATAACTTAGGTCTATCCAAATACCTATCATATTACTTACTCCCGAAGTATAGCCCTTTGAAAAAACAGAATACGGAGACGAAAAGACACATGGAAAAGAGACGTCATTATAAGAAAAAAAAATCCTTGCAAAAGGAAAAAAAGAAAAAGAAAACCCCATGAAAATAAAACACAAGAAATAAATTAGGTAGTATACGTGTGTTAATGTTATATTGCTTTTTATTTTATGGATATTTGTCGTTTCTTTTTGTCTGAGAATTTTTGTTATTTTTGCTTTTAATTTGACTAGTTAACGCTTGTTTATCTTACATTTACTGTAGGAAACTCTGTAAATTTACAGGAAAACGAAAAAAATGTGAAAGTAATCATTTTTATTTAAATGTTATAATAACTTCAATAATTTCCATTGCATAGGTATAATAATTTTAATTGAATAGATATAACAATTTCAATAATTTCCATTGGAAAATAAAATACTTCCATAATTTCTATTTAAAAAGAATAGTAATATTTAATAATTTCTATTGAAAAGGAATAATAATAATTTCAGTAATTTCTATTGAAAAGGAATAATAATAATTTCAGTAATTTCTATTGAAAAGGAATAATAATAATTTCAGTAATTTCTATTGAAAAGGAATAATAATAATTTCAGTAATTTCTATTGAAAAGGAATAATAATAATTTCAGTAATTTCTATTGAAAAGGAATAATAATAATTTCAGTAATTTCTATTGAAACGGTATGCTTTAAATATTGAACAGAAGAAAGATAAAAGTGAAAAAAGAAGATAAGGATATTCGTAAAATTTAAAGAAAGAAATAAAGAAAAAGGAAACAAAAATTAATGAATAAGAAAACTAAACATTAAAAAAAATAAGATGGACTAAATAAAAATGGTAAAAGATTGGGGGAGACACGTTGGAGTAATGCCTCGGATTGAGGAATCGGAGAGCCGAGTTCGAATTCCATTCGAATCCTTTACATTCACTTTCGGGCTAATACCTTTGGAAAAGGTATGAATCCTCTTCTTCTCCCCACAGCTATGCGTAAATAGCAAGACAAGACCGGCTTCTAGAGCCCTGGATGATAACTGGTCTACCGCAGAAAGAAATGGCAACCTACTGCGGGAAAATAATCGGCCTCGTCAGTCATGTATCGAAAGATACATGATCGCCTAAGCGTGTATCACGCATGGTACATGACTGTCTGAAAAGATTGAAAAAAAAAAATGACAAAGTAATGAGAGAAAAAAAACTAGTACAGAATAAAGAAAATAATCTTTAACTGTGA